GGATAGAGCCCAACAAATTTTGCAAAAGAAAATGACCTCAACCTACTTTAACGGTCACAGAGGTCAACAGCATTTCAAAGGATTTGTATGGAAGAAACGAAAGTAATTGATTCATAAGATTTGGCTGGTAGCGTTTTTGGATAGAGCTAACAAAGTTTGAGAAGGAAAATGACATTTGGCCTACTTACAAGGTCAGGGAAAAATATGTCAAACAACTTCTGAAGAAGAAACAAAAAGCATAGAATCTTAAAATGATGGTTGTTTCAACAGATGGAGCCGACAAAGTTTGCGAGGGAAATATCTGTAGTGCAATATAACATTTAATGAGAATATTTTGCTATGACTGCTGAAATATTCAGGTGAGCGAAAGAGGCCCTGTGGGCCTCTTGTTTTACATTACGTCCATATGTAGACTTGTACAAGCTCCAGAACCGGGAACAAACGATCAGAATGAACTTCACAAGTTCCAATTATTGGAAAAACACATGTTGATTGAAAATTAAGTTTGAATCTTGCTTTGGTCAATTTCATGGGGTGATAAATTGAGATGGTCTTGAAACAAATAGTTCATTAAATTTGTTTCAAGACCAACTCAATTCATAACCCCATGAAATTGACCAATTGACCAAGATTCAATCCTGAAATGAAGATGGTACACTGGTGGAATAGAGCCCAACAAAGTTTGAGAATAAAAATGAATTCGACCTACTTTCAAGATCACAGCGGTCAAATGTGTCAACACTTCAAACGACTTCTTCTGAAGAACCAAAAGATATAGAATTTTCAAATTTGGCTGGTGGCTTCCTGGGATAGAGCCCTGTAAAGTTTGCAAATGAAGATGACTTCAACCTATTTTCAAGGTCACAGCGGTCAAATATGTCAAACGCTTCAAATGACTTCTTCTGAACTGGGATAGAGCATAACAAAGTTTTAGAATGAAAATGAATTTGACCTACTTTCAAGGTCACAGTGGTTAAATATGTCAAACGCTTCAAATGACTTCTTCTGAACTGAAAGGTATAAAATCTTTATATTTAGCTGGTGGCTTCCTGGGATAGAGCCCAACAAAGTTTGCAAAAGAAAATGACCTCAACCTACTTTAAAGGTCACAGAGGTCAACAATATTTCAAAGGATTTGTCCTGAAGAACCAAAAGTAACGGATTCATAAGATTTGGCTGGTAGCTTTTTGGGAAATAGCTAACAAAATTTGAGAAGGAAAATTACATTGACCTACTTTCAAGGTCACCGGGGTTAAAGGGGTCAAATATGTCAAACACTTCAAACAAATTCTTTTGAAGAACTTGAAGGTATTGAATCTTCAAATTTGGCTGGTGGCTTCCTGGGATAGAGCCCAGCAAAGTTTGCCAAAGGAAATGACCTCAACCTACTTTAAAGGTCACAGAGGTAAACAACATTTCAAAGGATTTGTTCTGAAGAACCAAAAGTAATGGATTCATAAGATTTGGTTGGTAGCTTTTTGGGATAGAGCTAACAAAGTTTGAGAAGGAAAATGACATTGACCTTCTTAAAAGGTCAGAGGGAAAAATATGTCAAACAACTTCTGAAGAAGAACCAAAAAGCATAGAATCTTAAAATGATATTTTGCTATGACTGCTGAAATATTCAGGTGAGCGATACAGGCCCTGTGGGCCTCTTATTTTACATTACGTCCATATGTAGACTTGCACAAGCTCCAGGACCTGGAACAAACGATCAGAATGAACTTCACAAGTTCCAATTATTGGAAAAACACATGTTGATTTAAATATTAAGATTGAATCTTGCTTTGGTCGATTTCATGAGGTGATAAATTGAGTTGGTCTTGAAACAAATAGTTCATTAAATTTGTATTAAGATCAACTCAATTCATCGCCCCATGAAATTGACCATAGCAAGATTCAATCCTTAAATGAAGATGGTACAATGGTGGCAGCCATACATATAAGTTAAGTATCTAACATAGCAGTCATACATATAAGTTAAATATCTAACATAGCAGCCATACATATAAGTTAAGTATCTAACATAGCAGCCATACATGTAAGTTAAGTATCTAACATAGCAGCCATACATATAAGTTAAATATCTAACATAGCAGCTATACATATAAGTTAAGTATCTAGCATAGCAGCCATACATATAAGTTAAGTATCTAACATAGCAGCCATACATGTAAGTTAAGTATCTAGCATAGCAGCTATACATATAAGTTAAGTATCTAGCATAGCAGCCATACATATCCGTTAAGGAGTTTCCACCCTTCGTAATACACATGTTTTTCTTTTCGTATTTTCGTGTCGTCATTTCCGTATTGCGTATCGGGCATTCCATTACCGTGGTGTAAATTATAGTAACACCGGGTAAACAATAGTACACGTGCGTGACGATGATATGTCAACACCCGATATCGAGACTTAACTTGGAAATGTGTAATCACACGTACTTCAGAAATAAAGCTTATGATACAAAGACATTAATTAACTCACGGGCAAACACTGACATATGATCAGACGACTTCCAAGAAGGTCGTATATGAGGCGCATGGAATGCAGACTGATGTGTTTTGTTTACCGACCTCACCTGTACGTATCACGTGCTAACAGTAGTTCACAAGCTCTTATTCGCTACGACTTTCGTTGTCGAGCGAGTTACGCTCTGTCAGATAAAACGGTTCACAAATGCAATTACAATAACTCTGTTAAAAAGTGGTTTGTAAAATATCAAGATCCCTGTAAAATGCAAGTGCATGTGCGTGCAGGTAATAACGGCATACCATGCGATAGCCTATGGTTACTTATGTACCTGACATGTTAATATACCATGCGTAAGCAGGCTATGGAATGATGTCCAAAGTGTACATGATTGAGAGTAATTTTGTTCCATAAACAGTAAATTGACAATTAAATCTAGTAGTTTAAATTACTTCCGTCGTTTTTTGGTATAGTAAAGAAAATAAGTGTCATTGTATAAATTCTATCCCTCTGCAAAAAGTTCCGGTTTTTTTCAAGGTAGACAACTCTCATCAGGATAAAAATTATTGTAAAATGTAGAATAAATTGATTATAAAGACTTTGTGTGCAATTGGTTCAATTTTTCAGTCTTTTTGTATGAAACTATGTGTCCTGTTTACTTTTAGCTTGTATTTAGTAACTGTTATCCATACAATTTCAATAAAAAACGCTTTTTGTAACATGTTGTAGATATTTTATAATAAATAAAATATTTGTAGGGTTGATTAGCAATGTTTCTTTTCAATATTTTATTGTTGTTATAGTTTTGAACAATGCCACACGCTCAAAAAATGTAAAAGTGTTGAATTTGACAAAAAAACATTATTTCGGTATTTTTTATAAAAAAATCCCCAGGTTATCGGGATGCTTAGATTTTCATAAAATCATCTCTACATAGTGACATAACCATTATGTGAAACTTTCATTGAATTCTGCTGGCTAATTTCGAAAGGGTGGAGCCTCCTTAAGTATCTAACATAGCAGCCATACATATAAGTTAAGTATCTAACATAGCAGCCATACCTATAAGTTAAGTATCTAACATAGCAGCTATACATATAAGTTAAGTATCTAACATAGCAGCCATACAGATAAGTTAAGGATCTAACATAGCAGCCATACATGTAAGTTAAGTATCTAACATAGCAGCCATACCTATAAGTTAAGTATCTAACATAGCAGCCATACCTATAAGTCTAGTTTCTAACATAGCAGCCCTACCTATAAGTTAAGTATCTAACATAGCAGCCATACATGTAAGTTTAAAATCTAACATAGCAGCTATACATATAAGTTAAGTATCTAGCATAGCAGCCATACATATAAGTTAAGGATCTAACATAGCAGCTATACATATAAGTATCTAACATAGCAGCCATACAGAGAAGTTAAGGATCTAACATAGCAGCCATACATGTAAGTTTAAAATCTAAAATAGCAGCTATACATATAAGTTAAGTATCTAGCTTAGCAGCCATACATATAAGTTAAGTTTCTAACATAGCAGCCATACCTATAAGTCTAGTTTATAACATAGCAGCCCTACCTATAAGTGAAGTATCTAACATAGCAGCCATACAGATAAGTTAAGTATCTAACATAGCAGTCATACATATAAGTTAAGTATCTAACATAGCAGCCATACCTATAAGTAAAATATCTAACATAGCAGCTATACATATAAGTTAAGTATCTAACATAGCAGCCATACATATAAGTTAAGTATCTAACATAGCAGCCATACATGTAAGTTAAGTATCTAACATAGCAGCCATACCTATAAGTTAAATATCTAACATAGCAGCCATACCTATAAGTCTAGTATCTAACATAGCAGCCCTACCTATAAGTTAAGTATCTAACATAGCAGCTATACATATAAGTTAAGTATCTAACATAGCAGTCATACATATAAGTTAAGTATCTAACATAGCAGCTATACATATAAGTTAAGTATCTAACATAGCAGCCATACATGTAAGTCTAGTATCTAACATAGCAGCCATACATGTAAGTCTAGTATCTAACAGCAGCCATACATATAAGTTAAGTATCTAACATAGCAGCCATACATGTAAGTTTAATATCTAACATAGCAGCCATACATGTAAGTTAAGTATCTAACAGCAGCCATACATGTAAGTCTAGTATCTAACAGCAGCCATACCTATAAGTTAAGTATCTAACATAGCAGCCATACATGTAAGTCTAATATTTAACATAGCAGCCATACATATAAGTTAAGTATCTAACAGCAGCCATACATGTAAGTCTAGTATCTAACAGCAGCCATACCTATAAGTTAAGTATCTAACATAGCAGCCATACATGTAAGTCTAATATCTAACATAGCAGCCATATATGTAAGTCTAGTATCTAACAGCAGCCATACATATACGTTAAGTATCTAAGCTTTTTGTTCGACCAAATTGTTTGATGGAAAGTAAATATTCAATGTATACCAAAGTTTTTTTGTTTTTTTTTTGCAGGATAAATCTACCGTTTCTGAGTGAACATTTAAACAAATATCAGGTAAGTGTGTGCGAACAAAACAAAAATCAATTATGTAAGTAAATCTTCTGTATGAATAGACAAACAAAGTAAATAACAAGTAAGTATATTTAGCTTGGCACACTCTGACTGCATATAAATTATCATATAAAAAGGTCTCAGATGATTGATACTGGTTTCAAATATGGCGCAGTTCATGCTTCAGCGAGAAAACAGTCTGACGACATTCGTTGCTTGGTTCCTTCAACATCTAGATTCATTGACAGGTTCGGGATCCATTTAGTATTATCCTAGCAACCACAACTAACTTATAGTTTCCATTGTATACAACCCGCTTCAGTAGTGTTTTCATTGTATGTAGCATTTAAACATTGTTTTAATGTAAATATAAAAATTGACCTTCATTTTGATGGCATATATACTGAAGTATGAACACAGTTGACAATGAACATATTCTTTATGGATCCCTATAGCACACACCAAATAATATATTCACTGTCAACTGTGTTCATACTACCAAAAGCAGCTACCATATACGCCATCAAAATGAAAGTCACTTCTTATATATATGCAAATAAAGTGATTTAAGCCAAAATCAAGTACCCAGGTAGGTAAACAGAACAAAATTTCTGATGAAAACTATCCTAGCCTGTGTCTTTTAAGCTATTAAAGATATCTTGATGAAATTTGAATCAGACCTGCTTCACCAACAGGATATGACAATATGGAATGCATTCTAATTAGGTCATCGTGACATTCACCTCTAGATTTAAGTTCAAATACAGGTAAAAACATTTTCCAAAACCAATATTTCAAAAATCTTCTTCTCCAGACTCAGAGGTACTACAGTCAATTTTTCTGCATGGATGGAAAGTTCATGAGGGGGTTTATTTAAATTGTAAATTTCAGTAACCCCCGGCAATTCGTTCTCCCTTGGGGTGGGGGTAAAGTTTACTATAGTTTATATAGGGAAATAACACTTTTGGGTATACTTTGTTCATTTTCAGTAGGAAATTCTTCTTGCTTGGTGAGAATCATCCTTGGAGAAAGGGAATCAAATTGTAAAATCGGGATTCCTGATCAACCCCAGGGGCAAGGGCGGAGCGCCAAAGGGAAAGTTAACCAATATTTCAAATATCTTCATCTCCAGACTCAGCGGTACTACAATCAATTTCTCTACATGGATGGAAAGATCATGAGGGGGTTTATTTAAATTGTAAATTTCAGTATCCCCCGGCAATCTGTTCTCCCTTGGGGAGGGGGTAAAGTTTACTATAGTTTATATAGGGAAATAACACTTTTGGGTATATTTTGTTCATTTTCAGTAGGAAATTATTCTTACTTGGTGAGAATCATCCTTGGAGAAAGATGGTATCAAATTGTAAAATCGGGATTCCTATCAACCCCAGGGGCCAGGGCGGAGCCCAAGAGGGAAAGTTAACCAATATTTCAAAAATCTTCTTCTCCAGACTCAGAGATACTTCAGTTAATTTCTCTGCATAGATGAAAAGACCATCAGGGGCTTTGTTAGAATTGTAAATTTCAGTAATCCATGGCCATCCGATCTTCTTTCGGGAGGGGGTAAAATCTACTATAGTTTGTATAGGGAAATAACACTTTGCAGCAGGAAATTATTCAAACTTGGTTGGAATGATTATGATGCCAGATGACAATTAAATGGTATGAGAAAATAAGATCCTGTCCCATCCCCAGAGGCTGGTCCGGCGGCCTGCGGCCGGCACCAATATTTCACTTTAAACAACTTCTTTTTAATAACCAAAAGGCCTAGGGTGATGATGTTTGGCCAGAAGCAAACTAGGGTGAAGGGCTACCAAGTTCGTTCAAATAAATTACCTTCACCAATTTTCAAGGTCACAGGGGTCAAATATGTTAAAATCTTTATATAACTTCTTCTGAATAACCAAAATGCCTAGGGTGATGATATTTGGCCAGTAGCATGCTGGGATTGAATGAACTTCACTTAATTCAAGGTCACAGGGTCTAAAAAGAATTAAACAACTTCTTCTGAATAACCAAAAGGCCCAGAATGTTTTTATTTAGCCAGTAGCATGCTAGGATGAAGGGCTACAAAGTTTGTTCAAATGAATGACCTTGAGTTATTTTCAAGGTCACAAGGATCAAATATGATTGAATAACCAAAATTTGCAGGATAATGATATCTGGCCTGTGGCCTTGAAGGGCTACCAAGTTTGTTCAAATGAATGACCTTGACATTTATTCAAGATCACAGGGATCAAATATGTTATAAATCTTTAAACGATTTCTTCCAATAACCAAAAGGCCTAGGATGATGATATTTGGCCAGCATCATGCTTAGATGAAGGGCTACCAAGTTTGTTCAAACAAATGACCTTCACCCATTTTCAAGGTAACAGGGGTTACCCATATTAAAAACCTTTCAACAACTTATTCTCAATAACCAAAATGCCAAGGATGATGATATTTGGCCAGTAGCATGCTGGGATGAAGGGCCACCAAGTTTGTTCAATTGAATGACCTTTACTTATACAGTGGAACCCACTTATTATAATATCGGTTATTATGATATTTTTCCCAACTACCGATTTTTCCCTTCTTTAACTAAGCAAAAAAATATTGTTTATTATGATATGGTCAAAGGTAGGACCCTGCTTATAATGATATTTTTTTCTGCTGTGAATGGATTTTATAAGGTCAAAAGTCAAGTAAGTTGTCCGTGTGAAACACCTGGACAATTACGCAATAGGTTCGGCTAACTGTACATCGCCAGACGTAATCATCTGTCCACTCAAGGTAAATTTTTCACACCTCGCTTCACCCCAGTCAGTGGAAAACAATAGATCGACCATCCCTTGCCAGTCATATACATTTTAGTCTTAACAAAACATGCGGTGCAGTTAATTGCTGTCGGACTATATCAAATGAAAATAATTAGGCCTACCGAACACAAATTCCGATAAGAAAACGAGCATGCCTTTCACAAGTATTCATGGTTACTTTGACACGTCATGTGAGAAAATCATGCCGATTTCAATGAAAATACTTCTTCAGAAGGAAGACCTGTGTTTTTAATCATTTAAGCAATAGTTTCTTAATTGCAATAGAAGTTGATTTCCCCATGTCTCTGTTGAAAAAGTGTCACTTCTGGACATACCACCTTGACAGCATGGTGCCGGAAATCGATCCAAAGTTTACATTATTGTCGTAAACAACTTACAACGGCTGCTTTATTTACAAATAACACCATTTTCGTTAAATACATTATTTGATTATTGTTAAAAAGGGAATATTATGTGCTTTTAATTGTTATTGTTTCTTTGTAAGTTTATTTTATCGCACGACTTGCAAGGCATGTGATTGATACGTGATCGTAATTGACATAGAGCGGCAAAATATTTTTACGCTTACTAAACAAAATGTTACACAACTGCACATTGCAAAATAGGTAAATCCTGTCTATTTATATCACTTCTTTTATCGTTAGCTACAAGTGTAGGATGAAGTATAAAGATAGTTCTTAGGAATATGCTCAAAGTTATCTGAAAGTGAAATTAGAATTTACATACTGATCATTACGACGGCAAAACGAAAACTTCTCGAAATTTTCCAACACGCTGATATAATGAACAATGAACAAATTATTGCAATTATTAGTTGATCTTTTTGTATTTATATTTTTCGATGTTTCCACATCAAGCTATGTCTGATTGATATAGGGCATCTCACTTCCGGTTCAGACAACATAAAAACGATCGAAAACAGCTTAATCGGTTATTATGATATATCGGTTATTATGATATTTTTCTCTGGCAGATAGGATATCATAATAAGCAGGTTTCACTGTATTGAAGGTCACAGGGGTCAAATTTGTTTAAAATCTTCAAACAACTTTTTCTGAATAACTAAGAGGCCCAGAATTTTGATATTTGGATGAAGGGCTATCAAGTCATTTGAATGATCTTGACCCACTTTCAAGGTCACATTTGGTCAGATATGTAAATGACTTAATGTCATGAAACAAAAGGTCTAGGATGGTGATATTTGGCAAGTTGCATGCTGAAATGAAAGGCTTTAAAGTTTGTTCAATGTATTATGACCTTGTTTGAAAATCAAGGTCACATGGGTCAAATGATTTAAAATCTTTTAACAGGTTGTTTTGAATGACTTATAGTCATTAATACTGATATTTTGCCTGTAGCTTTATTTAAGATCACCTTTTAGGTTACAAGTGTGAGGTTAATACCAGGTGAGCAATGCAGGCCCATTGGGTCTCTTTTTTAAGTTCTTATCTTACAAGTATTGTATTTCACTTTGTTTACATGTTGTTTTCCACATTTTGTACATCTCAACAATGAAATTGAGCTACTAGTACCTAAAGGATAACTCAGGTAACTGCTAAGGCCCTTGGGCCTCTTATTTTGCTATTTGAGATAGTATAAAAAACTAGAAATATGTCAGAATGACATGAATTAGTCACCCCATCATTCTGTATGATCATTTTCCGATAAATCATTGACAAAGCTACAACGGATATATTTCCACCTGTCAATCAAAATGGTAAACAATGACCAGGTGTAAATACATACATGCTGTTCAGGTAGCCATGCCAACACATGGAATTAATAAGAAAGCATGTCGCAAATATAACGTTAGCGTTGACTGACATCTCGAATACAGGGAGATCTGTGCCGTGACACGATCACCTGGCATGGGCAGAACAGGTTATTAGCTCACCTGCCCGAAGGGCAAGTGAGCTTATGTTATGGTGCGGGGTCCGTTGTCCGTCCGTCCGTCGTCTGTCGTCCGTCGTCCGTCCATCTGGTGTCAACTTTTTTCTTTAAACAACTTCTTTTCGGTAACCAAAAGGCCTAGGAAGATGATATTTGGCCAGTAGCATGCTGGGATCAAGGGCTACCAAGTTTGTTCAAATAAATGACCTTGACACACTTTCAATGTCACAGGGGTCAAATATGTTAAAATCTTCAAACAACTTCTTCTCAATAACCAAAAGGCCCAGGGTA